TTGGTGTCTGAAAGTAATTCCTTTTTCTAGACGAGATTATAATTCACAGAAAAGCATATCAATTATCTTCTGTCTTAGACTGTATTGTCAAGGTATCAGTTTTCACATCAACCAGACTTGAATTTTAATCAATGTACTAGTTCAGCAACATTGGATATGTTTTTCAGCCTTTCTGATATGCCTGTTTTTTTTGTATATATACAAAGAATATAGTGGGATAAAAATTTTTAGAATGCAAAGGTCATGAATATTGAGCAATGAGCAAATTGTTGTGCAATGAGTGGTGTTTGCTGCGATTTAACATACTGGCCTCTCTCTTCTTGTCAACATTATTCCCAAGGGTATTGTCTTGGCTACATATTAGTTCCACATTATAGGTTGTTGGAATTTTATACATTGAAATAGGGCACCAGGAAGATTTGTTTGTTTGTTTATGAAAAGAGGTAAATCTTTTCATTCTAGAGTTTTTCTAACATTCTGTAATAGTACTATTAGCATTAACTCCACACAAAATTGTCTTAACTTATACATCTTTTAAGTCCTACATAATTTTCTGCTGTATTATTTAGAAGATGTTGAACCTGGCTTTATTGAATGTCAATTCAATGTAAGCTGGCGAGAACTGCCAAGTCATCTGATGTTAGGGAGCATATAATACAAATTTAACATAAAGCCGTACAATTTGTATAGGTAACTAGATTTAAAAAATAGAATCAGCTGTGATGTTTCATATCATAATCAGCATATGAAACAGTGAATTAGCTGATGCATTACTTTGAGCTATCATATTTAATGAGAATTATTTTTCATAAAGTTTGTAGCTGTGAAGAAAATTAATAAGGTTTTGAATAATGAATTCTTTTACATTTGGTAGTATTTTACTAATTGAGCTTTTTTTTCTTTGCTCACTGAGGTTGATTTCTTAGATGTAGAAACTTAAGCGATACATACATTTTTTGTACAAGATACTGATATTTATTTACTCCACTAGTACTTAATAAATATTAGTTTAGTACATAGCAAACCTACTAGACATTGGTTGATGATATAGAAAGATAATAAGACAAGTTGTATATTAATTAGCTATATGAAAGTGACAGTGAACATGGAAGTGGCCAATTTTGGACTGAGGATGGACTGAGGAATTTATGAATTTTAAACTTGCATAATCATATAGTGGAATCATGACATATGGACTTAATTAGATTTAGCTACATATATTAAAAATACTGAGGCATAAATGAGACAGTTTATTTTTGTTATACCTAAAACATTGTTGGTCAGGGGCTGCTGTGGTAGCCCCTAGTATCATCAGGGAACAAGGCTTTTTTCTTTCTGTTCTTTGATCATAAATTATTCATAGCTTCATTTATCAAAATTATTGTATCAGAAGGGCACCAAATCAAAGGCCATAGGCCAGATCCACTCTGTCAAATTCTGTATATAATGTTGTGTTGGAGTACAGCCACCCCCATTTATTATGTGTTGTCTAAGGCTGCTTTCATGATACAAATGGCAGGATTGCATAGTTGTGACAGAGACTATAGTCCTACAAAGCCAAATGTTTGCTATCTGGTGCTTTATAAAAAATAGTTTGCTGATTCATGATCTAAGACAGTGCTATTAGAAAGAGTATAATGTGAGCCACATATATAGTTTAAATTTTCTAGAAGCCACATTAAAAAAGTAAAAATGAACAAGCAAAATTCATTTTAATAATGTAATTCTTAAATCCTTTATATCAAAAAATATCATTTCACCTTGTAATACATTTAGAAAATAATAATACATTTTACTTTTTTTTTTTTCTAAATCTTTGATATTTAGAGTATATTTCAATTTGAACTGCTCATACTTCAAGTACTCAATGGCCGTATGTTTCAAGTGGCTATCATGTTGGACAGAACAGATATATCAAAATGAGTACATCCATATCCTTTGCTTTCTTCATAGGAAGAAGAAAGAGAAGTTTTGAGAGGAACAAATAGGATAAATATAAAACAAATAGCAATATTATATATATATAAGGACACACTTGTATCAATATTTACAATAAAGGTACATAATTTAAAGATCTCCATTAAGAGGCAGAGGTCATCCAATGGATAAAAAGCAAGAAAAAATGATATGCTGCCATAAAGAAAGTGATTTTAAATATAAACATGCAGATTTAAAAGTAACATGCAGGTTAAAAGTAAAAGAAGAGAAAAAGATATACTATGCTAACACTAGTCAAAGAAGACTGGGATGATTACGTTAATATCAGCCAAAATAGATTTCATTGCAAAAATATTACCAGGTGTAAAGAGGCTTATTTAGTAGTGATTAATGAGTTAATTCATCGTGGGAACATGATAATTATAAATGCTTTGGTATCTTATCCCAGAGCTTTTACTTCACTGACATTTATAGAACATTCCACCTAATAACAACAGAACACAAATTGTTTTCAAGTATACAAAAGTAAATTTACCATATGGACCGTTTTCTAAGCCATAAAGCAAATTTAAATAAAGTTCCATGGAATCAAATCACAGAAAGCATGTTTTAAGACAATTTGGCAATAATTAGAAATAAATATCAGAAATAAATTTGAAAAATCATCAAATATTTGAAAACCTAAATAATAGACTTTTAAAATGATAGGTCAGAAAAGCAATCAAAAATGATGATTAGAAAATAAAATGCAAATACAACATACCAAAATTTGTGAAATATAGATAAAGTACTGCATTGAGGAAAATTTATAGCATTGGATGCCTTTATTATAAAAGAAAAGGATCTCAAATTAATTTTCTTCCATTCTAAAAATGTTTTTAAAGTATCAAATTAAGTCCTAAGTAATCAGCAGAAAATAAATAGTAGAGGTTAGTATGAAAATAGAAAACAGAAAAATAATAAGTAAATCAATGAAACCAAAAGTGTGTCCTTCCAGACAGAAATTTAAATTGATAAACCTATAACCAGAGTAGGAAAAATAAGAGAAAAGACACATATTACTAATATAAGGAATGAGAGAGGTGAAGATGCTGCTAATTCTACTAGTATTAAAAATATACTAATGGAATATTGTCAATAACTCAATGCCAACAAATTTTACGACTTGTATAAAATGGACATTTCTTCAAAAATGACAAACCCAAAGCTCAGTAAACAATAGATTAGCTGAATAAATTTCTCTATATTTGTGCTTGCAAAGGTAGGTCCAGATAGCTTCACTGGTGACATCTATGACATTTTAAAGAAGAATTAATATCAATTCTGTAGAAACTCTTCTAGAAAATTGAAGAGGAAGAAATACTTTCCAACTCCTTCTGTAAAATCAGCATTACTCTAATAATCAACAAAAGGTAAACTTTTCCACAATGGCACTGGATCAATTTGAGATAGATAGATACATACATACATACATACATACATATATGCACTTTGATCCATATCTGTAATATATGTAAAAACTAGGCAATATAGGCCTAATGGAAAAGAGAAAACTGTCAGACTTCTGGAAGATTATATAGGGGGATATTTTCATGATATTACTAAGGCAAAGATCCCTTTGATATAATATCATAAGCATGATCTCTCAAAAATTGATAAATTGGATTCATCAAAATTAATAATATATGCTGTTCAAAAGACACTATTAGAAGAATCAAATGACAAGCCAGAGACTGGAAATAATTACTTGTAGGTCACATGTCTGACCAAAGGACTTATCTTTGGGCTGTATAGAGAATTCTCAAAACTTAAAAAAAACAGATTATTAAAAAAAGAAATATTTAAACATACATACTATAGAAGAAGATATGTGGCTATTAAATAAGCACATAATAATGTATGCAACAATATTAGTCCTTAAGGAAATGCAAAATAAAACTATGATAAGGTATTACAACACACTTAATAGATTGTCTAAGACTGAAAAAGACTGACTGTATGGAGGTCAGGAGGATGTGAAGTAACCAGAACTCTCATGCAATGCTGGTGGAATGTACATGGTACAAGTACTTAGAAAAGGCTTTGAATATTTCATTAAAGGTTATACATACACCTTCCATACTACCCAACAATTTCACGCCTAAATATTTACCGAAAGGAAATGCAGGCATATATTTACATAAATATTTGTATACAAAATTTATAGCATCTGTATTTGCCAAAAAATGGATATAACAAATGTCTGTCCGTAGATGAATTGATAGATTGTGGTATGGCCATAATTGAAGTACTGTATCACTGAAGAATAAAAAGGAATAAACTATCAGTATATACTAAAGATGAATAAAAACTAAAGATGGATAAAACTCAAAACTTATTGATTGAAAGAAATCAGATCCCCCCAAATCCATCCTATATGATTGTGTAAAATTCAAATATATTGACAGAAAACAGAAAGATCAGCACTTATCTTGGGATGAGCGTGTGAGGAAAGACAGAAATTATTTTATGAGAAAGAAGTCATGAGAAAGAAGTCATGAGAAAGAAGTTAAGAGTGATGGATATATTACTTGCCTTGATCGTGATGATGCCTTCAGGAATGTGTGTGTGTGTGTGTGTGTGAAACATTACGTCGTCCAATAGAACTGTTGAAAAAGTATACAATATATTTCACCTCCCATTCTAAATGAAATGCATTTAAATGTAAAAGTGATATAAGTTAATGCCAGATATCCAAATGTACGTATTCACGGACCGGCTGAAAAAATTGGTTTGTTCTTGCTGTTGTTGTCGTCATTGTTTTTGTGTTTTTACAAATCATAGAAAATAGCTAGCTGGCTATATAGATGCTATGGTCTGAATTGTGTTGCCCCCAAATTCATTTGATGAAGCGCTAACCCTCAAGGTGACTCTATCAGGAGATGGGAGTCTTTAGGAGGTATTTGAGGTTAAATGAATCCATAAGGATAAGGCTTTAATCCAGTAGGACTGTGATCTTATAAAAAGAAAAGAAATATTTCTTTCCCTTTCTTATTTTCTCTCTCTCTCTTCAACATATGAAGACATTGTGAGAAGGTGGCCATTGGCAAGCCGGGAAAAGAGCTCTCACCAGAACCCAGCCATGCTGACACTCTGATCTCCAATTTGCAGCCTTCAGAACTGTAAGAAAATTACATTTCTGTTGTTTAAGCAGCCTAGTCTATGGTATTTTGTTATGACAATCCAAGCTTATTAAACAGAAACATATAAGTGTAGAGACCACTGTCTCTATAAGCCTGCAAATTAAGTTTTAAGTTTTATAATGATTGTCAAATTTGAGTTAATATCTACAACAGAAAAGAATATTTAAAATTTAATTTGAGCACAATTTTATATCAAAGAGTAGAGATTAATCATCAATTGTCTTTTATTAATTTAGCATAGATAAGTATATATTACCTGAAATTTATTAATCATTAAATATTTATATAATTTATTAAAATATGGTTTTGAACATCTGGTGAAGCATGTACGGTTGACCCACTCAGTTATTAAGCATTTCAGATGCCCTTCTTCCTTCTCACTTCAATACAGAAGACAGAAAATCTATATACTTGCTTTCCTAGCCTCTCTTGAACCTACGAGTTCTGTCCAATTCAACATGACAGTTTGGGGAAGTTTCTGAAAAGTGTTTGGCTTTATCTGATATAAAGAAAAGAAGAAGTTTGTCTCCAGATCTCTCAGTTCATTTGGCTTTGAATGCAAATACAGTGTTTACTGCCAGTAAGGCTATTTTGCAATAATGAAGGAAATGGGGCAACTGAATGAACTTCAGTGCACACTTGCCTCTATGCATCTTGTTACATGTAAAAAAATCAAATATTTAAGCCATTGAAAGTTAAGTATTCTGTTTAATACAGCCAAACATTCTTAATAAGCCCAGTGCGTATTAAAAATATTGCTTGGCACCACAATTACAGAAATGGAAAGTGTTCATTTTGATTCTGAACACTTCAGAGTCTCCTGAGGATGATAAGCAAGTAAAGAAATGCTTAGAGAGAGTTTCTTCTGTAAGATGAAGGCATGGTGCTAAGGCATCAATCAGAAGACCATTATTCAGTGAGAGAAGGGTAGAGAAGGCTTCCTGGATATGGAAGCTTGGCAGCTTCCTACTTGATTATCCTGACCTACTTGATTATCCTGTTTTCTTCCCTTCTGTACTCACCCCCACCCCAAATCCATTTCTTACTAGCAGCTAGAGATATGTCTTTAAGAGAAAAGAGATCATGTTACTCCACTACTTTAAATCTTGCAGTAGACACTATCTCCCTTAAAATGTTTGTAAGTTATTCTATATAATAAATGTCTAAAAAGTATGAAGGCAAGTTAGAAAAATAAAGCAAATTGGGCAACCAAGTAATATCAGACTCTTAGAATTAAACCTGGATTATCTGAAGTGACAAATACATCAACTATAATACACAAACAAAACACACGTTTTAATGCTTTTTACACAACTAGCATCTTGACTGTAAGACTTATTCATTTTTGGGGGGGAAATGTTTCCAATGAAAAAAGAGGGGGTAGAAAAAGAAAGAAAACATTGCTGAACCAGTTGCCCTGAATGGCATTAAGCTCTCAGTGTGTACAGTGTGTGAAAATGAATCTGACCTACTTTATTACAAAATCAGCGAAATAGCTTCATGCAGGTTAGCAGGAAAACCTGGCTTGTATGCCGACATTGCTGAAAGTATTTATATGAAGGAAAAGCCAAGTACTCCCTGGTGTTAATACACACCATGATCTATTATTGGAACAAGAGTCTGAGCTGTAAGCCTTTGGGAACATAGGGAACAAAATCTTTTGCCCATGACTTTATGCAGATGCTTTGTTTTTGCAAAACCTTTTTCACTTTTGCCTCTAGAAAGTTACTGAGATTTTCACACAGTGCAAAATGACTAAAACAATATATCACAGAGGAATGTGTATAGTATTTAGATGAGTCAAATAGGTTGGTTCAGGACAAGGATGACTCTCACAATACTGTATTGGCTTAACTTGAATTCAAGGGTCTGGGGTCAAGAATCAAGTTACAAAGTAATGTTCTTGGTTTTCTGATGGATGGAACTGTAACAAATGGGGTTGGGAAGTGGAACAGGGACAGAACAGTTATGAGAAAATTATGAGACCTTGAAGTTATTAGCTGACTTAGTATGGCAGGTCATACATTACCAGAGAAAGTTCCGAGACTCCTTTAATTTTATGTTACCAAGAATGTGCTGTAGTTATAATGTGTATTGCTGTATATTTCTTCATCTCACTTTAAGAGCAATTTTGTGCTGGGTACAGTGCTACGTCCTAGGGTTTTCTTGATGTATAGCACTCAGTCATTCTTTCCTTAGAAACTTCTTGGTCCAGTTTGTGAAAGGAGACATTTGAGCAATGAATAACAAGTGCTCATCACTCAGTAGTTCAGGTTGTGCTGCATTTGGCTGAAGAAAGGATCATTAATTGTTTTCCTTAAGGAAATTAAAGGAGGCTCCATGGAGGTGGTACATGTAAGACAAATATTGTGATAAAAGTTTGAAATAATTTTATCTTCATGTGTAGCAAATGGGAAGTTAATAAGAATGTGAAGAGAAATAATATTGCTATTTGTAGGCTTTTGGTGTACTATCTTTTCTTCATATTAAATAACATTTCATTTATACAGAGTTTTATTTGTTGAATTACCTCATCTTCCAAAGCTTACATGCCACATGGTCAGTCCAGATATCTTCTCATTTTTACATTCATTTCTCATTTGCAATTAACGTATGATTTAAACATCATGCACTCATAATCAAATGTCTTTCATTAGTTCAGTAGAAAAAAGCAACTTTAAGAAATGAACATGTAGTCTACTATGTCTCCTTTGTATTTAGCTTAAATATTTATATGTTTAGCATAAATATTTATATATTTCACAATATAGCACTCTCTGAATTCATATCTACTGCTCCTGCTCTCACGCTGCTCACTAGATGACTTGCATTTTGTTATTGGTCTGTTTTTCCTTTCCGCTGCTTAAAACACCTGAACAAATTAGTTATTTGCATGTAGTGTTTTTGTATGAATAAATCAAGGAAGAAAAACTGAACCTATACTTTGTAGAAATGAAATCATTACAGTGGGCTCTGTATTACCTCTGAGTCTAGTTAGACATATTCAGCCACGGCACTGCCTGACACCTCTTTCTACTGTCACAGAGCAAGGTCTGTGACTGATGATGTATAACTCATGAAGAAAGGTGGCAGAACTGATGGGAATGGAAATTCAGAACGGCCAGATTTTGATTCAGGCTCCTAGAATTAGGCAGCCATGCTGATCAGTTCCCAATATTACTGGTGAGGTTACAGACATGGCCAAATGTTGTTAAATTTATAAGACATCAATTTAATGAAACTACAGTCCTGCAGTCACCAGTGAGCATTTGTTTGCCACAGGACACAGAAAATAAGCAATCTTTCAGACCCAATCTTTCAAGTATGGAGATGGGAGGAAATCAGCTGTGTGGAGCAATTCAAAATGAATAAAGAGACTATATTTTAAAGTGAAATAAAGTGGCTTCAGCCATGGTCACTTGTGTCAAATTCAATCTTTTAACTGCAAATTTGATTGGTATGATGTTTTGGGATAGAGTTGCAGATGGGGTGATGAGGTCTTCAGAGTCATTATAGAACTGAGAATTGAGACAAGTTTCTTCTTGTAAGACATGGAAATCACAAACCTTATTTTTAGGTTGGTGAGGTTAAAATGAGAAAAAAATATATGAAAGATCTGAAGCATAGTAGAGTGCTAAATAAAAGACAGTTTCCTCTCTTTCACTCAAGATTCCTTAGCAGTAATTGGGAACAAGTTATTCTTAGGAACTCTGGAGCAATTCACTAACTTTTGCCTGTTTAAATAATAGAAAGGAAATCCACCATAAGTAATTGGGGGAGAACTATATGATAGAATTTCCATCAGTCAAAGTAATTTTGCACTGCTGATAACCAAAATGGAGTCTGTGGTTTATACAGTGAGAGGTAAGAAATCGTCTGTTTTAAAGTCTCTAAATAGGTAAAAAGATGAGAGTGAAAGTTCTGGTCCAGATAGTGATGATTGTTGGTGTAAAAATGTGCATTTCCATAAGTGAGGAAATGGAGATATTCTGTAGGCAGAAAGAAAGCCTCTAGTAGAGTTAGATGAAATCAGAGAAATTGTTAAGGACCAAAGGAACTTTCATGAAGGAGTTGCATCAAACATGATAATTGACAGTGAAACACCTTCTCCAAATCATCTAAACACTCAAGAAGATTAACAGGATAAAAAAGTTCCCAGAGTTTCAATGGCGGAGAAGCAGAAGGTTTAGTTCAATGTAATTCAAAAAGCATGTATTAAATATTTATCAAATGGCAAATACTGTACCGAGCATGAAATAGTCATAAGACATTTTTAGTCCCTGTCCTATAGAAGCTCATGTTTCAGTAAAGAGGAAAGCAAGTTGGCAAATATTTCTTATGCCGTCTTATTTTAAGTTTGTTAAGTGAAACCCCCAACTTTAAGCTCCATGGGGCTAGAGATTTTTGATGTTTTAATTTTGTGTTGATTGTTTTATCTTGACTGATAAATCTGCAATACCTCAATTTATACCTCACTTTATATAATTGGTACATATTAGGTATTAAATAAATTTTATTGAATGACTGAATAATCAAATTAAAAAGGAAACATTCTGTTTAAATGGAAATAATTTTGATTTCCTATGAAAAACCTCTCCAAACTTCACACCATCAACCCTATTAGTAAAGATAGGCACACAAATATCCCCATCATAGGTATATGAATCTTTGTATGCAGGTACTGCTATGCTGATCTATTAAGAACATAGAGAGTAGAGAATAAAAAAAATAAAGATGAAAATAAGATAAAAATAAATAGGAATAGAAGTTTTAATATTTTTCTTCCCATTCACTTATAAAATGTGTGTGTGTGTCCCCTGAGGTTCATGAAATCGGTTTGTTTTATTTTGTTTTGTTGTGAAGGAACAAAGTAAAAATGTTATCTGACATGTATATGACCCAGTGTAAATTTAGGGCGATCTACACTTTTTTATGTCTATAATCCTAAAAGTGAGAACTAGAGGAAGACATGCTGTATA